CACGGTGTCATGGGACACGGTCCCCCGGAAGGCAGGAGGGCGGGCGATCCTTGGGGACTGCCTGGGGCGTTCCTTGGCCCTGCAGTCCCAGGCTTCACCAGGGCCTCCCTGGGTCTTCCCGTCGTCCTCTTCTCTTCGCTGCTCTGTGTCCATGTTTCCTCTCGACAAGAACCCAGCCCTGCTGGATCAGAGCCACCCTAGTGACCGCGTCTTTGCCTGGTTAAGACTGCAATGACCCTCTTTCCAAACAAGGTTACATTCTGAGGTGTCCTGGTCGGGTTTCCACTTATCTTGGGGTGGAGAGCGTAGGTGAGCCCGTCACCCACAGGGTAAAGACCAGGGAGATCTCCAGAGAGACGGTTGCACGCGGAAGGACTGGGAAAGGAAGCGCTCGCTGACTTGTCTAGGCTGTGACCTCGAGGGGAGCCTGTGTCCCCCCTCTCTCTGCCTCTCTGCCTACTTGTGATCTCTGTCTGTCAAATAAATAAATAAAATCTTAAAAAAAATTTAAAAAATAAAACAAGAGGCTATTTTATGTTAAACACTAGTTCATAACGGCGGGTACCGGGGGGTTCACAGCTTCCCTCCCCCCTTCCCTCATTCTTTCATTTCTGTTGAACTCCTACTAGAATTCTTGTTCCCAGTGGTTTTAAATGACCAACTGTACAACTGCAAAGTCCTCTATGTGCATCTTAGGAAACGCAACAATTTCATTTATGAGAAACCTTTGAGCGGGGGCTTTTCTGTGTGCCCAGATTTCTAAAAGGACTCGGAGCTGGTTGCTAATCCTATAATGTAAAATAAAGTGCAGACTCCCTCCTTCCAGACACGTGAAACTTTGAAATGAGCTTTCCAGTGACTCGTTGACGTGGTAACCTTTTCCTGGCCAGCCTGGCCAGCTAGCGGGTGTCCGAGGGAGACGCGGATAGTGATGTGTGGGGGGCGGGGGCAAGGAAACCCCAGACCTGGCTGGGCAGGCCGCTCCTGTGGAGGCCTACTGACTCCCACAATGTGAGAGCGCTGGCTCGCACCCCTCCCTAGGGCCTGTGGCGGGAACTAGAGTCAGGAGGCGGCTCACCAGGGGCACGGCCACTCTCCTCAGCCCGCCATCCTGCTCAGAGCTTAGCCATGCACCTGCCCTGCCCTGGTTGGGTCTTTGCAACTAAGGTGATTAACAGGAAGCTAGGGGACGGGGACGCCAGCTGCTCAGACTGGCGGGGGGCAGTAGGCCCCGAGCAGGGGAGAATGAGGACGGGTATGGAAGTAGGCGGGAGGCCAATGAGGCACAAGGTGAAGGGTGGCCGCGGACCTCCTGGGTGCAGGGCACACAGCACTGTGCCCAGAAAAGGCGGGTTCTGAGGGTGTCAGTGTGGGGCGGCGGCTCCAGGATCTTGGGACATTCTGAGCCAGCAGCCAGTGTCCCTCCAGGGTGGGTCCCCACAGCCCCGCTGGCCTCGGCTGGTGGAGGCTGGCACCGGAGGCAGGAGGTGTGGATGGCTCAGTGCAGCCCAGCCCTACGTCCACGGCGCCACAATGCTCGCTGACACTGTGCACAGGGTGACAGGACGACCCAGGGCAGTCAGAATCTCACTGGGGGGGGAGGGGGGCTGATAAGAAGAGCCAACCATGTCTCGTTGGTAAAAAGCCTGCACGAACAGGTGACTTCACTTCGAGGTCCCGCTGATGAGAGACCCTAATAACCGTGCGTCAGTTCTCGTTCGCAGACAAGCTGACGCGGGGCAGAGGGCCGCAGATACACCTGTGGACGGTGGGGGGCAATGCCAAGCCCGATCGAGGCGGGGTGCCGAGCAGGGCGCTCACAGCTCGGGGAGGAGGAGGGCGCGCAGCCACAGCTCCGGGGGCTGTGGGGACAGGACCCTGTGGCCTGGGGAGCTCTGGGGAGACGGATGTGCCGTGGAAAGGGAGAGTGACGCTGGCTGAGGTCTGAAGGACGAGAAATGAGCAGCACAGGTGACTGGGACAACTTGCCAGAGACGGGACTCAAGAAGGGACTCAAGCGGCCTGAGCTGTCTTGTCTTCCCGAGCTTGAGGACGCGCGTCCCAGCAACAACAGAACCGTAGAGAACTCATCACGCAGGTGCCCCACGCCAAAATCCAGTGTCTGAGAAACGGAAGAGTGTGGTGTGGGGCCCAGGTTTGGTCTGGGCTGGCCTAGCTCCCACGGCCCTGCCACAGCACCCCCGGGCTCCCCAGCCCCCTGGCACACGGCGGTTTCTATAAATGCCCGGGAGAGGAACTCCTCAGGTGTGAGCCTTATGAAGAAACTGTCAGAGCACCAAGTGTGGGTGTCAGCCGTGGACAGATTTCATCCTGGCCGTATGCAGGGCCTGCCGCTAATTACTACTCATCAGCCCACAACCCGTCGAGAGCAGGCCTGATGGCAGATGAGTGGGGAGTGGGCGAGAATCTTACTACACGGCATGTGCTGAAGCAGAATTGTAGCGTCTGTACTCATCTTTTACAGTATAATGCTTTCCAGAGTAGACCCCAACTCTCGGTCTCTATCTGCCGACTACATTATTACAGAGACAGCGGGAACTCCCACCAAGTGAGCGTTGCTAGCAAACCTGAGTTTGGACCTTTTTAAAAGAAATGAATGCAAAAGGTCTCTTTGAACACATGAAATAGAAAGACAAGTTTATTTTTTGTGTGTTATTATTATATTTCAGACAGAGAGAGGGAGAGCGAATCTCAAGCACGTTTCATACTCAGTGCAAAGCCCGACGTGGGGCTCAATCCCACGACCCTGAGATCCTGACTCGAGCCGCCCCAGCGCCCCAGGAAAGGCAGGTTTCCTTCCCTCATCTTTTCACCAGCATGGAGGGAAAGCCTGTAATGCGAGGGTGGGACGTCCCTGGGACACCGGCCGACCGGCTGGCCGACCAGCATCAGTGTGTCTCTGATCTCCAGAAACTCTCCTGCTGAGGTTGGGGGGGACTCAGGATTCGCGGAGTCCCTGCGCTCAGCCCTGCAACCGACAGAGGGACAAGGAGGAATCGCTGAGTGGTGAGTCTCGCCCCTAAGGAAACCGGATTCCTGTCCCACCTACCCACCACAGTCCAGGAAGCGCAGCCTCCGGGATTTACTCTCAAACCCAGGCTGGGAGGGTTTGAGCCCCTGGGCTGGACACACATGGGACTCCTCTCAGACAAGACTTGTTCCTGGGCTCTCTTTGTGGGGAGACACCTATTTGGGATGGGGAGAAGGGGCCCTTCACCTGGACAGAGCACAGCACTCCTGGGGGGGCGGGGGCCAGGCTCAGGCAGATGCCCCACCTCCCGGCCCGGGGAGGGGATGCAATGCCGCCCCTCCTGCCGGTCACACTTCCCACCCGAAGTAAAAATACACTCAAGCAGTGTTTCCCCAAGAGGTTCTCTCAACATTTAGTCACGTCTGAAGAGCTGTAACGCAGTTTCCCATTCCGAACCCTAACATTCCAGAGAAGCCCCCTCCATCCCTTTAAAGAAAAGCTCGTAAACACAAGCGTTGGTTTTGAACCTTTAATAAAAGTAAAAAATGAATGCAAAAAGAACACAGTGCTGAAAACTTAGTATGACTGAATCTCACTAGATGTCTGTATCCGGTATAGTGCAAATTTTGTTCGTAATATTTTACATTTTTACAAACGCAAATCACTTTGGTTCATATACTTGCTATAAAGTATTGGCAAAAAATTTCTTCAGATTCACATTTTTTGGCTACATTATTTCTAAGAGATAGAGATTTACTTCCAGTTTCAGAGGAAAAAATACTTACTGTTTGTACATGATCAAGTATACTTTAAAGATTCAATTACTGCTTTCACCTAATAACTCCTGGTTTTTCATAAAATGCTGACCTCCTCCTTGAAAAATCTTTTCACATGGCTAATCATCCAACTTCACTTTCAGAAAACGTGTCAGGGGTCAGTGCCAAGTTCAGAACGATCCTGTTTTCTTTTACACAAAGTTCCTCTAACACAGAGTAGCTACACAGTCACCTACAATTTGCTCCAAGGGGTTTTTCTTGGAACAAAACTGAACAACCATAGCAAGATCATTGCAGCAGAGGAACCGAGGGCGCACGTCCCCAGCCGCAGGCGCCGGGCCCTCTCGCCCTCCGACCCCCTGTCCTGCCCACTGCCCGTTTCTAGTCAAAAGGAGTCTCGTAATGAAGTCACTTTCACAGAATTTGAAACAAAAACATTTAAATTGCAAAGTACAAAAAGGTAAATTTGTAAGTAAAAATGCCAGGTCTACCCATCCCACACGTCTGGAGTATTTGAAAGGACTGGGGCTCAGTGGAGGGCACAACAGAGTAACTTCGTAACTGAAAGAAATTATTGCTGAGTTCCGCCTCCGCGCAGCACTGAAATGAATGGAGAACCCTCTTCAACCTCTCATACGTTAAAAAAAAATAAATATTTAAGAGAATACAAGGCTCAGATTGGTTTTCATATACATTGCACTTAATGTTTGAGACCCAGTCCTTGCGAAGCGGGTCAGGGATGGTCTATGCCAGTCTGTGAAGACGTTGTGCTCACCGGTATCTCCGAGTGTTTAGAGACGCGCGGCGCTCCAGGCGGTGGCGTGCGCACGCGGCGCTCACGAGGCAATCACAGATTGCAGATTCCAGAGGGCCGTGGACGCATCGCCGTGTCCATTCCGGCGCACGGAGGGAACCACACGCGACTCCGGCTCCCTAAGCCCGAGACGCTCGGCAGACACGGACGCCCTCCAAGATTACGGATCTGGGATGAAACTCCCCAGGTGTTGCGGTGAAGCCCGCAGACGACCGCAGTGTGGACCCGCGGCCTTCACTGCCCTCTGCGCTCGGGGAGATTGTCTGCACAAAGCTCCGCGGCAGGGAGGAGAGCGCGGCTGTGCGCTGTGGGGCACACGGGTGTGAGGCACGGGGGCGTGAGCGTCTCAGCACTGGGGCCTCCCCATGCAGCCTCCCTGCGCTCACAGCCACTTCTCTTCTTACCAACCCTATTTTTAAAAACTTTTGGATAAATATTCCTATTTTTCCACACCTCACCTTTGTTAAGCACCATCGAGCTCTATCCCCTGTGGGCAGCAATACAAAACCAACAGCTGGTAATTAGGCTTTAGTTAAAGGCTTTGAAACATGGCAACCTGCTTTTAATAACGTAAAGGAGATCGAATACTCGGGAAGCCGTGCCTGCCAGCACTCCCTCGCCCGCCTGGGGGCGCGTCTCCGGAGCGGACTCGGGCACGGGCGCATCAAGCAAGTGCCCTTTCGAGAGAAGCAGCTCTTCTCCGCGTGCTACTCTAGGACAGGTGAGTTATTTTTCCGGGAGTCACGGGGACAGTCAGCCCCTTCTCAATGGATCACTGAGGAAAAAAGACAAATCTTTGTCACAATCCAATGTCACAGACTTTCTTCCCAAATCACGCTCTTCTCCGGTGCGTCTGAAGACTCAGTCGCTGTGTGGCTTTTCGGGAAGCCCCTGCACGGAAAGAGAGCGAGAAGGTGAGCACTGCGCGTGTGTGAAGGAGAAGCTGCTCTGCTGGAGGGGACGGGGCAGGAAGGGAGCCCCCGGCGCAGCAGACAGGCCTCCCCCCACCGCCGCCCTCGGCTGGGAGGCCCCTGCCCTGCCAGGTCACGCGCCTGCACAACAGGGTACGCTCTCCCAGTCTGTCTGGTGGGCGGCCTCAGGGCTGCTCCAAGACAGGGCGCTTAGGGCCTGCTCGCAGCCCCCCAGGGCTGGGCTGCGGGCACCTGAAGACCCTCCAGCTCTCCAGCCCCTCGTGGCCCTCTGCCACCTCGGGGTCAGCAGCACTTAGGCCGCACCAGCATTGAGGCAGGGAACCTCCATCAGGACTGCGTATTTCATTCTTGGGTCCTGGCGTAGTCAGAGACAAATGTCATTTTCCACACCCCACCCGATCGGCGGGCTCCCCGCTCTGCTGGCCGCTGCAGGGCACACAGACGGCCTCCCCGCTGCATGTGCACAGAGGACTCGCTCAGGGAGCAGGCGGCCCGCACTGCGCTGGGTGTGCCGGGCACGGAGCGAGACTGCTGCCCTCCTGAGACTCGCGTGCACGCAGGTCCGGGGATGGGAGCCAGGACAGTCAGAGAGGCGGGCACCAGCTGCATGCTGCGGCCGCGGCGGGAGGATGTGATCTAAGGCCAGGGTCGTGCCCGGGAAGGCCGCGGCGCTCAGAAGCTCAGTTGGGGTCTTGGCTGCAGTGGGGGCAGGGGTGGGCAGCCATCCGCAGGGCCCCCACGTACACAGGCTCTGAGAGCGCCCGGCGAGCCTCCCTCCTCCCCCATCCACACCCTCCACAGACTACGAGTCCCTAAGCACATTACCTCGGTTTCTGATCATAAAAGTAATGCTTTTGCTGTAACTTTTTTTTTTAAGATTCTTAAAAAATTTATTTATTTGATAGAGAGAAAGAGATCCCAAGTAGACAGAGAGGCAGGCAGAGAGAGGGGGAAGCAGGCTCCCCGCTGAGCAGAGAGCTCGATGCGGGGCTCGATCCCAGGACCCTGAGATCATGACCTGAGCTGAAGGCAGAGGCTCTGACGCACTGAGCCCCTTGCTATAACTTTTTAAATGAAGACTAGAAAAATCTAACGCACGCTAAAAACCATGCACAGTTCTACTTTCCAGAAGCAGCAGCTTCCAACCGGTTCCAGATCCCACCTCCCTGCCACCCCCAAGAGGCTGGTCTCCTCGAGTGCTGCCCGCCAAGTCCAATGGACCCGTGCTGTGGAACAGGAATTCAAGCTGGCTCCCGCCCCCAGGCGTCCGTAACTCCCTGAAGCAATGGAGCCAGAAGCTGCTGGAAACAGCGTTCCACCACGGAGCCCTCTCCAGCACCAACACAACAGTTGTGCAGGGAGCGCAACTGAACACCGTTTCACACACGCTCACCCTCCTGGCTCTCCACCCAGAGAATGAGGACCTTGACATCTCCCTTGCCTGGAGCCGCCAGGAGTGGCCACCTGCCGCCAGCAGCTCCCGTCCTGGCCCACAGCACAGCGGGCAGCCGGCCCAGAGGAAGAAGCCCCCACTTCCGACTCTGCTAACTGTCCCTGTAGCTGGGACCCGGGGGAGGACCCGCACCCTCTCATGGATGGAAGCGGGAGGCGGAGTGGGCACAGAGCCTTGACAAGTCCGCTCGTTCTCATGACCTGGCGGGAAGGGGATGGTCACACCCCGCATTTCAAGACACGGTAAGAACATCCTTACGGAAGTTCCCCGCTTCTAAAGACTAAAGAGGAAGAACGAGCTTCAGTAAGGAGGATCACAGCCCTGCAGTTAGCTAGTTTTATCTCTAAAACTTAGTGGTTAAATTTTTAATTTTAAGCTTTCTACCATAATGACCTAAGGGGCGCAGCAAGGATCATTCACGAAAACAATCTCCAAGCGGTATTTTTGAAGGTACAATTTGCATGACTTTTAGAAGACGTTTCCTCCCACCATTTCTAGACGCTTACAACTCGTGCTGTGGGAGGCCCGTCTCTACTGGAGACACGTGTACGTGCTGAGCCTGGGTGGAACCTTCTCCGAGAACACAGAGCAGCATCCCCCAGCAGTCCGAGGCCACAATCTTTGACGTGCCGAATGTCATACAAACGTTCATTTTATGAAAAGTGACCCTGGCTGACGACAGTTTTATCCCGAAAGCTCTATTAGGAGTTCTCTGCTGAAGGTACTGAAACAGGAGTGTCACAGCCACAAGCACTGGAGGACAGACGGCGGAGAGATGGTGGGCCTGCCCGGTTCTACTCGGAAAACCAGTCAGTGGGCTGGGTGGGGGCGGGAAGCCAGCATCGGGGGCATCCCACGAGAGGCTGCACGGGCCTACAGAAGTCAGCCAAGTCCTCCGACCCTCATCAGGGCTGCGAGAAACCACATTTTCATCAATCCCCTCTCGAGGCACTGGCTGCACAGAACTCTAAGGGCTGGTGTGGCGGGGGCGGGGGGCGCAAGGAACTCCAGAACCAATGGGACAAGCTACACGTTCTGTCTTTCTGTGAAATCAGCTCTATTTCTGGGAACCAGCCCAAGCAGCCTTCAAATTCGAACCCCACCAGCGAGTATCAGCTGGCACATGACTCTGTAAGCAGCCAGAGGGACCGAGATAAGTTTTCTGACACAGCCCCGGGCTGCTCTGAGGGCAGCGGCCTCCTAGGGCTCACAGCTCTCTTCAGTTCACTTTACTGAAGGCCTAGAGTCCAAGTCAACTCAAGAAGAAGTTAAATGTCCACGTCCATGGAAGCGTCTAGACGTGAGCATTTCCTACTGACCAGAACCACCAAAGCGACCCCTGACTTCCTCTGCCTCCGGCTTGTGGGAAACAGCTCCGCGCCCCGGGAGCTGGGCTCCCCCACCACGGTGGGGTTTGCAGCGCTGCTGAGCCAGGCCCACGGGTCCCGGGAAGGGCAGGGCCGACCTCCCCAGGCCTGCACCCTGGCGCAAGGTCTCCTGGCACCTGCTGCCCCCGCAGGATGCAGGCGGGGGGCCGTGACCCACCATCAGCCACTCCGGCCACTGCGCTCTGCCGGTTCCGGGAGCAGCTGATAGCGCAGAAAAGCCACCACTCGCGTCTGTTCCGTGACGGGGGCCCCACTACTCTGCTTTCTAGCTCCCCATGTGTTAGCAGATCCCTGAATCTTTATAGTTTAGCAAAGAGCTGCCCTGGTGTTGTCACGCTTTTTTTTTTTTTTAAGTCTGCTTTTCTCAGTAATCATTCTTGGGTCTCAACTAGACATCAAGCAGCACACGTCACAGCGACTCTCGTCAAGCGATTCTACGGGGCTAAGCCCCGCCGCGCCAGGAGCTGCCCGCGTCAGGACGTACCATGGCCAGCTGCCGGCCGATGTTGCCCACGGTGACGCCTCCCGAGAAGAAGATACACGGCAGCCAGGAGCGAATGTAGAGGAAGTCTGGGGACGTGTACCTGCAGAGACAGCAGAGGAAACTGCCGTCAATCCACGACCAGCAGCGCTTTTGAGACTTTCGTGCCTAAATCGACCTCATGTACATGTAAGTAAAACAGGACACCTCAGCTTCGTGGTATTTCTGACAAAAGTGCAGGAACGGCTCGCGGACGCAGTCACTACTTGGGGGCGCAGACTTACTGATAGACACCATTGTACACCAGCAGCTGGGTGATCAGCGTGGCCAGGAAGGCGATGGTGATCCCAAGACCAAGGCCACTTCTTGAACGGTCGAATGTCCACCAGAGGCCCAAAGACAGGGCCGCTAACGTCAGGGAGAGCTGGACATTATTGGCAAAATCCAACTTCTAGTGATGCAAGGTTAAGGAAAAGTTCAAGGATTTTCAAGATGACCAAAACAAGCCAAAGGAAAAAACCAACCAGACAAGCAAACAAAACACCCCAGATCCTACATGTGTGCTTTCATTATTCCACACCCTATAATTCTCCATCCGAAGAACCCGCCCAGACCGCAGAGGAAAAGGTCTGCTGGGTACAAGGCTGCCATGACCGCAAGGACTCCGCTGGGTCACTCGGTGAGACACTATCTACAAGGAAACGCTCCAGGAGCTCCAGCTGCTGGTATCTGACCACGGAACAGCACATTTTGTTGCTGAGTCATCCACAGTCCCCGTCCTATTTCTTGTTTTGACTATTAACTTGAGCTGAGGAAACATACTTCTCTCCCCTGTCTCCTCGGATGCCTCATCCATTGTCATTCGACAGTACACGCTCCCACAGTCCATGGACACACACCTGCCTCTCATCACAATGCTACCGATTGGCAGGTGAAAACACAAATGTTGTCGGAGCTAAGGTATAATATCCCGTCTTGATGCTCTTCCCGTTAAGATACAGGTAGAGCAGGACATAGTAACTCTAAGAAGACCTTCCCCGAAGATTTTGAAATAGAATCTAGTTCTGTTAAAGAAACCCCAAGTCTTTTGAGACCTGGGAAACTACAGCCTGTTTTCCTGACAAATGCACTGACGTACAGCACGTATGTAATCTGTGCAACACCTTCCACCTGAGGACTCGAGAAGTTTAGGGACCTTCGGTTAAGAACCCCCCTGCAGAGGACACCACCTTTGCTGGCCCTGAGACTTCATAGGCACAGCCAGGGAGGGGGCAGAGAGGCAAAGACCCGTCTCTCTTCAACCTCTAGAAGCAGCGGCCCATGAACAGGGACCCCCAGCCGCTGCCCCCGGGGCCACAGAAACCAGGTCCTCACAGCAGAAGAATGCAAGGTGGGAAGGTGAAAGGGAATTTACAAAACCCACTCCAAGGGGCCAGAAGACTATCACACAACAGAGAAAGTCCTCTCCGCTTCTGGGATTACTTTAAGATTCCTGAACCACTTTGAAAACTCTTGCCAAGTAGACACCAAGCCAAGGTCTTTAAAGATCTGGAAGAAGGCCATTCAACTGACCTATGAGACAATACATACTGATTAAAAGGCACAGAACATTTCAACACGTAAACTAAGGAAATGCTCTGGACCGAGCACATCTATGAAGGATACAGCGCTGGCGTGGTTGATGCCAACGAAGACGGCCACACAGCGCATCACACTGGCCCACTCCCGCTTAAACTTGTGCGGCTCGCCCAGGTGACTGTCAATGCAGGGGTACAGCAAGCCCACGACAGCTGGTAAAAAACAACACAGTGTTAGAACATGCCGGCTCACAAGGAAAGGATTTCAATGCGCCAATCATTAACATATTATTCAAATGAGTTCTTTTCCTAGAAAAATGTACAAGTTATAATACGACATCTGAAGACTGATTTTGTATTTCTGTTTTCCTGGAGTACAAACAAAAGGATCACACAGTTTTGAGAAACTGAAAATAAAACGGCTGTTCTTCAGTCCAGGTGAGCACAGACTTGAGTCGGGCAGGGGTAATTATCCATATGACGCTATGACGAGTCAACCATGCTGAGCCTCCCCCGACTCCAGGTCCTGACCTGTGGGAACAGCCTGGGACCAGGCTCAGAGAACCAGGTCCCTGTTCCCCGAGGGCTCTGATGGGACCTGGAGCCTCATGTCTGTTCCCTCATGTGTGAAATGACGAGGGTTATGTAACTAGAAGGTGGAGCAGGAAGAGCTTACTGTTGGGGGAGAGTTAGGGCATTTTCACAGGCAGAGAATTTTAAAACAAGAGGACAGAGATTTTAGACAGGGGAGGGTGTGGCGTTCCAGGACAGAAGCAAAGCAGACAAAGCCAAGGCAGGACCAGGGCACATGGGGGCTGGTGGGGGTCCTAGCCCCAGGACCAACTGTGGGACACAAGGCTCAGAACCTAAAGTCACCAAGGGTGGAGGCATGAAAGCCACGGGGCAGTTCCACCTGGTGTCCCATGAAAGAGGAAACTATTTCAGGTTCCTGAACAGAGAAACAAGAGACACAGTCCTGATAAAACAGCCGATGGGAGAGTTTCAGTTTCAATTTCGTATTACATTTTATCAAGTTCTAATTTTAGAGTTTTGAAAACTGGAACCCAAACAATTCTAGAACTTATTTTGGTATAACTTAACCTTACCTTATGGGGTTAAAGGCTAAAGAGATACAAATGTACTATGGGATCTTGCCCTAGCTTATCTGGTATTTTTTTTTTTTTAAATGAGGTAGGAGACACTGTGCTTCAGATAGTCCTAGAATCCCCTGAAGCTTCAACTGCAAATAAAGCCTAACCTAAAATACCTCATTTTTAAGATCAGATCTTTGATTTAGAGAAAGAACTGCTGTACCATATGTGCCTGAAAAAAGGGATCTGCATCTAGGTAAAAACCTCAAAGAGGATTTTTAATAGGATAGCCATATGCTTAAAGGATTTACAAAGGCCAAGTAGGACCCTATTTTCCTAAGAACAGAGATGAAAGCAGTCTACACACTGAGCAGCTGCAGCATCCCCCATGATGAGTCCTGGCTAGAACACAGCCCCGGGCTCTGAGCCCTGTGCCCTCCCGCTGTGGTCGGTGAGTCTGCTGCCCACAGGATGTGCCTCCACAGTCCAGGGGAAACACCCAGACTCCACGGAGGCAGGCTGCAGTGTGCTGCACAGTGGCCCCGCCGTCCACTGTGTCCCCCTAGACAAGGATGCTTAAGGCCTCTGTGACTCAGTTTCCACATCTGTGAAATGGAGCCATCACAGCGTGCTGTTGTGAGAAGCGCACAAAGCGCATCAAACACAAAGCAAGCAGTCCGTAAACGCTGGCTACACAGCCAACAGCCGGGCACACCTGCCCCGACCCGGTCCCACATGGAGAGACCACTGCTCTGTCCCGCAGAGCTGGTGCGTTGAGGGCAGGGGCCCGACTGCCCTCGCGGCACTCCGCAGCTGACGCCCGTGGCGGCTGCGGGGAACAATGAGCGCCGGTCCGGTACGGAAGCGCTCAGTGGTCTGCGAGCCGAGACCAAGCGTGCACTCAGGTAACCCAGAAAGTCCCCAAGAGGATGGGGCGCCCGATCCCAGGCACTGGCCCGGCGGCACCCCGCGGCACCCCGGCGGCGGGATGGGCGTCCCCTCCGCGCGCCGCCCCCGCCCGCCGGCCCACGTGACAGTTTGTTTTCGGTGGCCGGCGGGTAGCGTGTTGGAGCGCCCGGCCAATGGCAGCGAGGCCGCGCCGCTCACCAGTTCGCCGGCCGCCAATCCCGGGCCCGCTCGGCCAGGGGACGGCAGCGGGCTCCGCGCGCGGCCCCCGGGCCAGGTCGGCGGGAGGCCGCCCCGGCGCCCCCGCGGCTCCCCCCGCGGCACCCCCCACAACGCCCGCGCCCTCCCCCAGCGCGCACCCCGCCGCACTCACCGGCCGCCGTCCCGCAGCACGGGGGCACCCACCAGGCCGACGAGAAGATGGTGGCGATGACCTCCTCGGGGAACAGGGTGACGTTCCGCTGCACCTGCAGCAGGTTGAGCACCAGGGCCAGCACGACCCCCACCGAGAACAGCACCAGGCTCCGCTGCACCAGGTGGTGGTGCCAGCTGCCGGGGGGGCCGCCGCCGGCGCCGCGACCCCCCGCCCCGGGGCTGCGAGGCCCGCGGGCGGGCGCGGGGTCGGGGTCCGGGCCCCGGCGGGCCGCCAGCGCGGCGGGGCTCAGCATGTCACCCACTTTGGCCGCCAGCCCTCCGGCCCCGGCTGCCAGGCGGCCTCGGTGCCTGGCGCCCTGGGCGCAGGAACAGCTCCAGCAGTGGTCGTCCAGCCTGGGCATCGGTGACCGCGGGCGGGCCGGCGCTCCTGCGGGCAGACGGAGCGGGGGGCGGGGCCCCGTCAAGTTCGCGGGCCAGGGGCTCGCGGGCCCGGGGCGGCCGTGGGGCGGACCGCGACGCCCACTCATAGCGGCTAGTGCGGGAGAGCCCGGGCCCCTGGGCGCCCGCAGATGCGCGGCTCGCGCCGCAGGTCCCGCGGGGAGGCCCCCCCGGGCGGCGAGCGGGCTGGCGGCAACCGGGTGTCCGCGGGCCCGCGAGTGCCCTCCGTACGCCACTCCGGTGCTAGCCCGTCCGGCCCCAAAGTTTCCCGCACCCCGTCCGCGCGCGGCGCAAGGTACCTGGGGCCCGGACGGAGGAGACGCTGAGCCGGCCCGCCGGGGTCAGGGGGGCAGCCCCGCCCCGGGGCCGGGCCGGGGTCCGTCCCGCTCCCGGGAGGGGGTGGGGGCGCCCAGATCTCCCCATCCACGCCCCCGGCCCGAGCTCGGCCCCGGCCCGCGCCCGCCTCCGAGCCCCACAACGCGCCCGGCGTACCTGTCCGAGGGGCGCCCGCGCGCGGGCTCGCGGAGGAGGGAGGTCAAGGCCCGGACCACCTGGAGTTGGGCCCGTGGCGCGGGGCGCGCGGCGCAGCTTATAAGGCGGGCGGCGGGGCCCTGCGTCACGTGATCCTACCCAGCCCGCCGCTTGGGGGCGTGGCCTCCTCGAGCCCCGCCCCTCCCGCGCGCCCGTCCGCTCGCGGTCTGGTGAGGCGGCCGCGGCCAATCCGGGGCGGGCGGCCCATATGACGTCAGCACACGCCACCGCCGCCTCGCGCCGCCGCTGGCTCGGGAGCGCGGACGGTCGGCGGGCGGACGGCTGCGGGAGCCGCGGGAACCGGCCCGGCGGGCCTGGGAGGGGAGAGCGGGGCGGCGGGAGCGGGGGCTGGCGTCCGTCGGTCGCGCGGCCTGGCCTCCAGGTCCTCGCCCGGTCGTGGCGCGCGGGTGGCCCTGCCCTGCCGACCCGGCCGCTCCAGCGCCTGCCGCGTCCCCTGACGTGTGCGGCCCGCGTCTGCGCGCCCGCCGGCCCCCAAGCCGGTCCCCACGACGGTGCCCCCCGCCGGCCCCCACGCCGGTGCCCCACGCCGGCCCCCACGACGGTGCCCCCCGCCGGCCCCCACGCCGGTGCCCCACGCCGGCCCCCACGCCGGTCCCCTCGCCGGCCCCCTCGCCGGCCCCCACGACGGTGCCCCCCGCCGGCCCCCATGCCGGTCCCCACGCCGGTCCCCCCGCTGGCTGCCGCTGGAGGGCTGGCGCGGAGCCGGGGCGCGGAGGGCCCCGCTGTTGGGGAGCGTGTGCGTGTGCGCGCGTGTGAGTGCGCGTGCCCCGGCCGCACGGCGGGTGCGGGAGCCGCCCCGTGACACGGGATCCCCCACGGCCACGGCCGCGCCCGCGCAGCGCCTTCCCCCGCGGCCACGTCGTCCTTCCTGGCGCGCGGGAGGCGGCTCCGCGGTGCCCCGGACACGGGCGACTCACCGAGCTGCGCTCCCCGCGGGCGGCCCGTGTCGTCGACGGGCAGCGGCGCGCGTCGTCCCCGCGTGCCCCGCGCTGGTCGGAGGCCAGCGGCGCGCCGAGCCAGACCCGCTCCTGGAGACGCGGAGCAGCGGCCGGTCTTCAGCCCCGTCCGCGCGAGCGCACGTGCGGGGAGGCCCTGCCTGAGAGCAGATCTCCGGCGGCCCGGGGACCCCGGGGGTCGAGGGGCGGAGATTGCATCGCTCGGGCCTGTTCGGGATCGGCCTGTAGCAGCTTTAAAACCGCCAGAAACGTGCTCTCGAGCCGCTGCTGCTTTTCCAGGATCCGTCCCGCGGGGCTGGGAGCGGGGAAGGGGGGGCGCGCACGAGGTCTTAGTGGTAACCCAGGGAACTTAAGGAACAGTGCTGCCTCCGGGGCATGCGCGACACTCCCGGACGCGAGGGCGTTGCGCGGGCACGTGTAGGACAGCGCGGAGCCGTGGCGTTCACCGGCTCGGGAACCGTCGCCCGGAGTCCTGGCGCTTGCGTCCTGCTAGCCCGGGCGGCGCACGGCAGGATGCGGCGCAGGTGCCTCCGCCCGGTGCCGGGTGCCGCCCTCGCGTGAGCTGCCCCTGCGCTTTCCCGCTTCCGTGACAGCGGCGTCATCGCGGACGCCGACGACAGTGTCTTCAGACCCGCTCGCGTCCTCAACACGCAGCTGGCTAATAACCTGACTTGTTTTCGTTTCCTGCATGGCCCCAAAGTGGGGGTGGCCGGGAGGGAGGAGTCTGTCTTCACCCCCGTCTGTGGCGTGGGCAGAAGCAGACGTTCACGCTCCACGTGCTCTGCTCTATGCCCTGGTCACCGTGGTCAGCCTTGTACCAGACGTTCAAAGCATTCTCAACTTCGTGGCCTTTTGTCATCTGGGTCTTGGCCATTTTCTCCAGGCGCCTGAGGTAAGCGCGAGCCGTGGGAGCACTGCTGGAACTTTGTAAAAGCAAAAAATGTTTTAAAAAGCAAGAAAATTAAAAGCTGCCCCACCATTCACTGGTAGGAAATCGCTGGGATGGTTGACGGCTCGCCTAGCCAAGCAGGGCTGCAGGGTTGAGTCGTTGCTGGATCAGCCACCAGCGGCCTGTGCCGCCTGTCCCCCACCCGGCATTCAGCACCATACACGCGGGCTGAGAAGCACCGCTATCGCTCGAGGTGTGGACCTCATGGTCGAGAATCTATACCACGGTCTTGGCCCTGAAATGGAAGCCTGTCACAGACTCGACGAGGAAACACCAGTGAATGGAGGAAGCTTCTCACCGGCTTTCAGGAAACTGGTTCATTCAGATACATGAGGCCCAGTAAGGAGCTCAGAGCTCTGCGCTCACCTGTGCAAGTCTCACAGCCCTGAAATCAGCCTATCTGTCTTCCGGGATCTGAGGCATAGTGGGTCTTCCTTGTTTTTTCTCTCGCCAGCCTGTCCGGCCACGCAGACTAGCCCAGTGTCACTTTCAGTGGAATGCCCTTTACGTACAAGCACAAACCCTATGAAGCTACGTTTTTTTCAAGATTTACTTACTTATTTTAGAGAGAGCGGGAGAGAGTGTGGGGGGAGGGGCGGGGAGGGGGAGAGAGAATCCCAAGCAGATTCTACCCTCGGCACAGAGCCCAGGGTGGGGCTCGATCTCACGACCTTGAGATCATGACGAGCTGAAACCGAGAGTTGGAGGCGTAACTGACAGAACCCCCAAGGTGCCCCTTATGAAAATATTTCGTGGGTTCCTGTGCTGTCTGTCTCCTGTGTGGAAAGGGACTCTCCATCGCATGGGTTGATGGGTGGGTTGAGGTCTATTCATGTGGCTACTTTTCTCCCCACCGGAGTGAGGGGCTGTCCACACAGCCCGGCCTCTGACTCTGCATTCCCTCGCATTTGCACCAGGACTGTGTGAATCAGGGCCTCCTGGAGCGACCCCGAGGCCCAGCAGTCCTGTGGGAAGGTGGGAGGGCTCCTGCCGAGGGCTGCCGGTGGCTTCAGTATCCGTAGGCCTTATCCCTGCACCCCCAGGGTCTGGGGTTTGCCCCAGTGCCGGTAGAGTCTGGTCCCACGAAGGAAGTGGGTCCAGGCGAACAGTCTTGCAAACCACAGGCTTGGGTTCGGGAGCCGTATTGAAATATTTTGAGAATTTACAAGTCCGTTCCCTCCGGTGACGGCGTTCTCGCTGCAGTCTCTGTAGCACACGAGGTCTCTGTAGCACACGAGGGCTCTGCGCTGACCGTGATGGGGTCAACTCTCCCCAGCCCGCCAGTTACTCTGAGTTAAGTATTTGGGGAAACGTGTTCGGGACAGCACCATTTAGTTCTTAATTACATCCCTTCATGTTAATCATTGTAGACATGCCATCAAGCGAGGGAAGTTTCCCATTGCTTACGGACTAAACACAGCCCCATACTTTCTCCCCAAATAACTCACTCAGGACACGAGACCTCTGTAGCTCTTTTGTACACAGAAAACAAAGGGCACAAAGGGAAGTACGGGGTCTCGGAGATCTCTGAGAGGTCAGGCAGTGGGCGATCTACTGCCCATACTCAATATTCCTGCTGTTTTGCTTTTTTTTTTTTTTTAACTCTAATAACAATTTATAACACATATCTTTTCAGAATAGGGTAGATAGCTACATATATTATTTTTAATAGAAAAATACCACATGCTTGTAAAACATTCAGAAAATATGAAAGAACATATTTTTATTATTTTTTTAATTAAAAGATTTTTAAATTTATTTAAATATAAAATAGAGCAAGAGAGGAGGAGAAAGTGAGAGGGTCAGGCAGACTCCCACTGAGCATGCAAGCCCGCCGTGGAGCCCAACACAGGGCTCCTAGGGCCCGACCCCACGACCCTGAGATCATGACCTGAGCTGACATCAAGAGTCAGAGGACAACCAACTCAGCTCCCCAGGTGCCACAGGAATATATGTTTAAAAAACCCCATAATCCCAGCGTCACTTCCCAGCCCTGGGCAGCTAGCAATCTCCTGTCTCTATAGGGTTTCCTGTTCTGGAGGTGTATGTGACTGGTATTACATCATATGTGTTCTTTGGTTTCTTTCTTTCTTACTTTCTTCTTTCTTTTTTAAGATTTTATTTACTTTTATGAGAGGGAGAGCATGAGAGAGAAAGAATGAACAGGATGGGGGCAGAGGGAGAAGCAGACTCCACAGTGGGCAGGGAGGCCGATGCTGGGTTCCATCCTGGAACTCCAGGACCACGACCTGAGCCAAAGGCAGACGCTTCACCGACTGAGCCCCCCAGGCACCCCTGGTTTCCTCCACTTAGTGGAATATTTCAAGGGTCACCTGTGTTGTGTCCTGCCGTCAGTACTTCCCTTTTTGTGGCTGAATAATGTCCCATTATATGGAAATGCACATTCTATTACCTACTCGCCAACCGATGGATAGTTGCATCGTCCTCACTTTGGGGCTCGGATGAACAATGCTTCTGGGAACCTTGGAGTACGCGTCTCTGTGAGGCCAGGTTTTGCTTCTCTCAGGTGGGGCTGCCAGTCGTGCCAGGGCTGGGTCATGCGGTGGCTCTTGTCTTCCGTCCTTAGCGGACCTGTTAGCCTCTTCTGCAAAGCAGCTGCCCCATAGCACCTTCCCACCAGCAAGGAATGAGGGTTCTGATGGCTGCACGTCCTTGTCAGCACCGGTTACTACGAAGACTTCATGATTCTCACGATCCCGGTGGGCCCGAGGCCGTCAGGTCACACTTCTGGTGGCGAGATAGCATTCTAGTAGGCCGAGGAGCATCTTGACTCCCTTGCTAAGACTTTCTTGGCCGGCGTCATCCCAACAAGAGTGAGGGAAAGAGGCGAGGGGGCGGCGAAGGAGGAAAAGCAAAGACAACAGGGTCATGCGTTGCTGAGCCAGCCACGCTGGGCCATGAGAGGTATCTTCCGCTTTGCGGCTACCACCGTCCTTTGGGGGAAAGACGTGTCTCAGTCAGCTCTCTCTTCCTGTCTCCGCGGGCCTGGGTTTGCCCCACGGCTGTTAACCCCTCTGCTCTCCTGTCCTAATACTCAGCCCCTCCTGGCAGGAAGAGCCCAGGCTGCTTCTGCAG